AGCCTTTCAACCGATTCCCAGCGGGAGTCCCCATTGGGGTAAGCATATTGCGGGGAACGCCAAAGAGGAATCTTCTTTTCTCGTCGGGAGCGATGAGGGGGATCTCGTAGAATCCCGGCGGCCAGTAGCATCTATACGATGTTCCAATCTTCATTAGACTTTCCATTAATCATTCGTCCCGTCTAACAAATTAGAACGAATATGACGTCATCGAGCCCCAACCCTAACATGTAGGTGTTGTTTTCCCCGATGTACCTACAAGCATGCCCCGAAAATAGAACCTGTTCCGTTTCGCTTTCAGCTCACCAAGGACTCACGAGCCTCGAACTCAGACGGGAAAGAAGGTCCTAATCCGATGGAGTATCCCAGTCGAGCACTCGAGACGGCAAGAACAGCAAGACGTGAGGGAACCCAGATGGGCTGTGTTTTTCGTCATCGAGCAGATTTCACTTCCGTTTGACTTTGAGGGGCCATTGCACGTCGTCCACTTCTCGGTGGCACTTAATCTCTCTGAAACCGTCAGGGAATTCTGCCTTCACCAGATGGCCCTCTAAAAATATCAAGATAAATTGTTGCACTAATTTCATGACTCCGTCGTCTCGGCATTCTGACCCGGTAAGGAACAGAAGAGTGCATATCTAATTCTATTTACGTGTACACGAGATCAGCCAACTGTAGGCACCTTAGACCGGTGGTTCCCAGATTTCTCTGAATCGCGACCCATTTGCGGCGTTCAGAAAATTTCGCCACCTACCGGAACCCAGAACGAGATATTTTCAAAGTAATTATAACGCGAAGGAAACTCATCGACATTTTCTGCAGTGCATGTTTTATCCTGAGCGGATGCGGATACAATGACTCATTATAATGGGAAATTTCTCCGGGTGAAGCCTCTCGCGACCCACAGTTTGGGAATTGCTGCCTTAAACCGATGTGGAACGAAACGGCTTTCTCGGTTGACTGTCGATCAGGCGTCTTTATGCTCTTAAGTGAGATAGACCATATGGCTTTTCTTCATCGGTCATCATTATCGTGCTTTCCACGATGGACGCGTGCATATCCTCATATACATGGGGGGGGGGGGGGGGGGGGGGGGGCG